CCCCAAAACCCCAAAACCCCAAAACCCCAAAACCCCTTTAGTTTAAATAATGATTGATAATGAATTATTTAGGATAGTCTGTTTGCCATCTGCTGTCTTTTCTGTTTCAACATCTCTTCTACATTTGGAGGCAATCTTCTTTCATATACTTTATCATGAGTTGATACATTTGATGATTTATATGAGCTTGCATGTGAATCTGAAGCGTTTTGTTTATAACTTCCCATTGATTCATAATCTTCTGGATAGCGAACCCCAGAAAAATTATTTTCTTTGTTCGCATTTGGGTTAAAATTGTATGGCATTGGGTTGCCATATTCTTCCTTTTGGGAATATTGGGAGAAGTGGCTTTGGTTATCTTCGTGATTTTCATCATCTTCCATCTCTCTCCTTTCTACATGAGCTTCATTGTCATCTCCTTCATACTCATCTTCTTCTTCTCCTTCAGGTTGTTCTTCGTAATAATTTGAATCAGGATTATTCCTGATCCGCTCAAGTTCTTTGTTTACCTCTCTATTTACAATTTCGTTGATTTTTTCGCTCATAAAGTCTGCTTTACTGTCTATAAGTTCTGTTCTTTCTTGTTCAAGTGTTTCCATGTGCATTTTCTGTTCTTCAACAATTTGCATCAATTCTTCAATCTTTTCATCAGCATTCATAAGTTTCATAGGCATGTCTTCATCTCCGATTTGGTCTGATTGATAAGGTGGATATCTTCTACCTAGCATGTTCTGACTCTCAGGATCTTCAGTGTCATATTCTGGTCCTTGAGGCACTTCGAGTCCATTTTCCCTGATGTATTCTTCCAAGTTGTGCACTCTCTCAGTTTTATTCTCAATATTCATTTCTGTTTCTCTGTGAATTTTGTCATATGCATCTAATTCTTCCTGTAGTTGTATGATGGTCTCGTCTCGTTCATTGAGTCTGTTGGTCAATGCAATCATGATGTCTCTCTGCTTGATTAAAAGCTGTTTGTATTTGTCAACTTGGGTCTTCTCTTCTTCGATCTGGTTTCTTTCTCGCTCGATTTCCTTCAGCTTTTCGTCATAATATTCTCTGATTTGTTTGTGCTTTTTCTCAAGTGCCACTCTGAACTGAGGCGTTTCTTCGATCTTCTTGCCTCCTGTCAGCATTTGCGAGTGCATGAGTTTGATCTTTTCTTCAAGCCTCATTTTCTCTTCTCTCTCAAGCATGTATTCTCTGGAGCGGACTTCAAGAGCGTTGATAGCGGCTTCTTTGTCTTCTTCAGCCCTCCTCTTTTCTTCTTCAAGCTGAGTGACCGCACTGGGGTCTCCTCAGCCATGACCCTTCTTCTCAAGTTCTTGCTTGAGCTTTCTGAGTTCGACTTCATACTTCCTAAGCAAGGCTCTCTGGTCAACGTCCTCATTGACTCTGGCATCGTTCTTAATTTTCTTGGCTCTCATTCCGAACTTGAGCGTTGAAGCAGTTTCGTTGAATGCTTCTGGAGCAGGAGAAACCATCATCATCATTGTGGTTTTGCAGTTTCCACCGAGAGAGTCTTTAAGAAGACGAGTGAGTTTGGAGTCCCTGTATGGAATGTGGGTTCTGGGCTTCACATCAGTCAAAGCTGCAATTACATTTCCGAGTCAGGACAGCGACTGGTTGATTTTCTTGGACTCTTCAAGTCGTTCTCCAGTGGCTCCAGTGATCCTCACACTTTCAGATCCTGCCAGGTCGACTAAGTTGAGTTTGCCAACTTTGATTTCTTTAGAGTTGTCGACTGTTCTCATTTGCTCTACAATTATGATGAAGACAGCGTGAGACCTTGAAGACACATCGTTCTTGTTTGTCCAGGCAGTTTTCCTTGACATGGCTCCTTTCTGCATGAGCGAATAGATTTCGTTTGGAGACCGGACGGCCCACTCTGAAAGCCCTTCAACAAAGATGCCTTTCTTCTTGTCTTCTCGGATGTTCAGAGCTGTGCGGTCAGTCTTCAGCAAATCCGAAATGATTTCGTTGTAAATCTGTAGATAAGAGGCTCTGACCATGAAAGTGGAGTTGCGATTTGACGAAGCTTCAATGTATTTGAAGATCTGTTCCATACTTCTCGGTACGATTCCTCTTTGAGGGTCACACCCCGAGTACTTGAAGCCCTCCATAGTGTAAGTTTTGCCAGTTCCAGTTTGTCCATAAGCCAGCATGGTTGCATTGTACCCTTCAAGAACTGAGAGCACGGCCGGCTTGGCTGTGTTGTCGTACAAGAAGTTCTGAGTTGCAGAAGGATCATAGACGTAATCAAATGTGAAGTTGTGCCAGACTCAGAGTTGAGGGTTTTCTTGGATGTCGAGTTGCCTCTCTCGCTCATTGACCTCGGCGCCCATGTACTCCATCAGAGACACGCTTTTGTTGTCTGGAGTGATGTGGAGACAGCTTCTGAAGGGTCACGACTGGTCTTGCTCTCTTGGAAGAGGAGGCCTCACCCGGATGATTACTTTAAAATTATCGTTCTTAGATGGCTTAGATGAGTAAATACTTGGGGCATGTGAGTATTCGTAGTTATCATCATCTTCATTCTGGTTTGTGGGTCCTTGTGGACCTCCTGGAGTCAAGTCTCTCATGTTCTTGACCGAGTACCGAGACCCAGGAGTGCTCTCGAAATCATTGCCACTCCGATATGAATCACCAAGATGGCCTTTGTGGCCGGGGTCGAAGGCATACTGCTGAGGGTCTTCATCCATCGTCTCCCTGTACATGTACTGGTTCATATTTTGTTGCATCAAGTATTGTTGCTGCTGGTGAGGAGTCATTTGGCCCATTGGTTTGCTGGGATGGTTCCCTCTTGAGTACATATTTATTTAAATTTTTGATTCTATTAATTAAAATTTCTTAGGGGTTTTGGGGTTTTGGGGTTTTGGGGTTTTGGGGTTTTGGGG